CATCTGACAGTAAGGCGGGGTTGGGGCAGAGACTGCAGGGAGCAGGGGGAAAGGACAGAGATTCTGGGGAGGAGGGGGAGAGGCTATGGGGAACTGGGGGGGAGGGGGTCCCAGTGGTGGTGGGGCAGCAAGGTTTCAGGGGAAAAAAGTGGGGAGGGGGCAAGGGGGCAGTGGGAGGGAGATGAATTCAAGACAGCCCTCTGATAATTAGATTCAATACCTGGAAAATGCTAACAAATTTATACATTCATCTTAAATTCAGGGTCGACTTAGATTCGAGTAACTACGGTATGCATCCAAGTCAGTATAGACTCAGGTTGAAAACCCCATCTTTCAAAATTCCTTCGCTCACTGCTTGACATAAGTAGGCAAGACCTGGTGGAAGGATTACACCCAGGTCTCTGCTGAAATCCTTTCCTCGGGTAGATTTAAATCCCTAGCACAAACTATCCTTGCAAGGGGGAAAGGTACATCCCTGATTTTATATATATAATATAAATATTTAACCGTAATGCACTAGACTGCAGCAGTTGGCAGGTTTTATGACACCATTTTATAGTGGATGCATCTAGATATTTCTAGTCTATGCTCGGCGGACTCGCCAAACGACTTAATTTAAACACTGGCACAGCTGCAATTAGCAAATAATGGAGATGTATGTGTATGTGTAAGGCTTACGCCTACTTTTGTCCCGGCAAATCCCCTGCAGCTTTGAACAGAACCTAGAGGGAAAATCAATAAAACACCAAGCAAACAGGCATTGCTTTACCAAGTGCTTTCAAAGCATTGGAGGCTGTAAACTTAAGTATTTTAAGACATAAAAATGAAACAAAAAAACCGCTAATTTAAAAGATCAGACAGAAGGGTTAGCAACCATCTCAGCTACTAAGGAGAAATCTTCAATAAACCGTTTGCCAGCAACAGATAGAAAGGAAATGTCTATCATTTGGGGACATGATGTTACATGTGTGTACTTATCTATATGCACATAGAGACACAGCTACGCACACACCTCTGGACTGGTGGATGGATGGATTCTCATTTTGCTGTGTGAGGAGTGACCCATGTAATTCCCTTGATGTTACCCAAGGAGGCCAAATATCTATACAACCTCTTGCTAGGCCCCTATTGTGGTAGGTGCAATTAATATTCAAGGTGCATGCTAGTTACTTAGATGGCTAAATGTCCTCCTGGATACCCCCACATTATAGCAGCTACTCACTTGCACCCACAATAACTTGTATCTACAAACTGCAGCATCCAAATAGCGGCCCAGAAATGGGTTACCCATGGGTGGGGTTTCTTTCCTTTGCCCAGGAGCACCAGTCCTCCGAATGGCAGATGTGTCACACAGCCGTCCCTTCCGAATGGGTTACTCGCCCCTGGATGATGGTGAAAATCTTTCTTCGGTGTCAGTGGACTGTGTGCTCACATGTGTGGAATGGCAGATGGAGGCAGAATGAAAGGATCTTTTATACCCTCCATGTCTCTCTAGACCTGGACCTATGACAAGCTAACACTGGCTTAATTTTCATTGGGTTGGTACTCCAGTGGAAATTACACCCTGGTCCTGAGTAGACAGATGGCCAGTAGCTGCCATATGGAGGCTGTTCTAGTGCGTTAGGAGGTGAAGGTGCATGTAATAGCCTGTTTCCATAGGGCATGTGGCTACTCCAAGATAACTGAAGGTACATAACATCTACCTACAACAGTGACACCTACCCCAGTTCATTTATACTGCTGTGTTTTTCTGGCTACACCGGATTCTGGTAAGAACACTAGTGTAGGGGTTGACATCATGTATCTGCTCCCTTTTTACACCAGCAGAAAGGTATAAAACATTTAGCACACACTTTACTCCAGTTGGCACAGTGCCCCCACCCCATTCATGCTATGATCAGTGTTTCATTCAATATATGTGGGACTTCTCCTTGTCCTTTTTTCCACAACTCCACCCAAACTGCCTGGATCCCAGCACCAGTGACCATGAACTGCTCTGGCTTTGCCTGTATTGTGCTTTCTTACAGTTCTCTGACCCCGATCGCTTTATCTCAGGTTGGGTGGATTAGCCAACTGCACGGATGAGCTACGCTTTAGAAAGGCCCAGTCCAGCTCATTAGGAGCCTGTCCATTCACGTTACTGGCAGGAGGAATTTAGCTCCAAATGGTTAGCATTAATTAAAGAAGGACTGCAAATTGAAAAGCTCTGACTGATGGCAGTGGGAATCTCACGTGTGTGGTAAGAGCAGGAGATGGCCCATGCTAGAATGAATGCACCTGCTCTTAGAAGCTAAGCAGTTCTGCAAATTGGACAGTATTTGGATGGAGACCCCACTGGGATTTCAGCTGCTCTAAATAAAAGTCAGGGAGTTGGGAGTGAATGCCAGACCCCAGACACTGAATGAATGGCAAGACCTGATTTTGCACCCCCCAAGGATGAGGACCCAATAGAGAGGGGAAGGAAGAGCAATGGCCTTGTGCCAAGATTTGTACATCAAACCATGTGCCGACATGGCTCTTACAGTACTAAACAGCCACTTTGTGGGCATATTTACATGAGATCCTTTGAGCGCAGTAGACTAGTTCTTCTGCACATCTGTGTGGTGGGCAAACCCCGTGCTAATGCATAGTAGAATTAGTCTCCTGTGTAGTAGTGTCACCTAAAATGTGTGTGCTGGCACTTCTGCACAGTATAGCTGGTTACTGAAAATTTAGTTAGTACTGTGCCTGTTAATACAGGCACTAAACTGAATGTGCAGTAACTAATGTGCGTTAATGCATGTGTAGATGTGCCCTGCTGTTCCCAGATCTGCCTCTTTTAGCAGCACTGGAGGGTGTGTCTCATGAACCCGAATCAAGAACAAATAATTGGGAAAATCAAAATACCTTTCCCATAGACTTCCCATTGGGAATGTTGCCATCGGCATGGCAAAACTGAGCTGGGAGTGCCGTCCACCAGCTGGCATTGCTGAGCCAGGACTTTGGCCTTCTCTGAATGCACATGCTACCCAAAGCAGACAGGGCTCCGTGTGGGTGCAGTTTTGGCTGGTGCTGCTTCATGCTACTGGCTTTCTGCAGGGAAGGATTTTGAAAAACCCCAGAACTGCTTGTGCAGTAACTCATCCAGTTCAGTATCATAGCAAAAAGGGGAGGAAGGTGTTATGATAACTCAGATAGGAACCACTCCGTGTACCACATTTGGATATCCACTAGAGTAGACTCTCTTCCCTTGTTTTTTGGGGTTTTTTTTGCTTTGTTTTGTTTAAACATTTTTTATATTGAATTTCTGTTGCAAAGCAAATAGAAAGCAGGAGAAAAGCCATAACACCCTGTTCTCCTAACTCTGTGAGCCTGGCAGCTAGATTCCTTGTTTTACAAAATCACAGTCAGAAATACTACATAAACTAGTCCAGGCCCCAGTAATGAAAGACGTGTGAGGCTCAATGGGCCAACTTCTGTCCCAGGTGGGACTCTGCTGATGCTGTTGGGTTTACACTGAGGACCAATTTGGCATAATGGCTCCACACTGGAATTTGTTTTCCTGTTTCTTTACTTGCAATTGAGGGTGGGCCTGAGTTAACTGAGACTGAGTTCAGATCTAAACGTTTCCCAGGACCACAGAGTTTTTAGATTTGTGGCCCATTTCTTATCTTGAAGGAGGTTTGATTGGGAGCCTCCTGGGCTCCACAGCTGCCTAAAAATCTCAATAAAATAAACATCTAGGATACACATCTGGGCAGGGTTTGACAAACCAATTGTCCGAGTGCAAATATGCTAGGAAGCACAACACATAACTCGGTGCCGGGACTCAGTGTATGGATGTGCTACTGATGGTGCCCTCCTGGAGGGTCACACCTCATCTTTCTCCACATTGCCTGAGTACCCAGAAGCCACTGCATCCTCTTGGATGAGGCATCCCGTGTTGGCTCTGTGCACTTTAGACAAAATACAAAATAAGCAATGTGCCCTTGCCTGCACAAATGAGGAGTGCTGCTGGCTACTGACTACTTCAGCTTGTACAGCCAGGCAGTCTTGGATTGGAATTGTATTTAAATGGAACAAGAACAATGCATCTGATCCTGACCCAGATCAGCTGAAAACACCTGAACAGCTTGAAGGAGGAAGAGGCAAATAGATGTGCGAGGAGGAAAGGGAAGGAAGAGAACCACGCATGATCAATCGCAAAAGGCATGTTTGGCATTGCCTTCCCCGCGCTGATGCTGAAGGGCTGGGGTGTGGTCAACAGTAGGAGGGCTAGTGGTGCCTATGTAAAGTTCAGAGATTTGGACTAGAAAAAAGACCCGCGCTCTCATTTGCTTCAGTGTGCAAGAATGACTATTGAGGCATAAACCCAGTTTATGCTTAGGTAGTAAACTGCAGCCACCACAGTCCAACAGCAGCGATCACGCCTGGACCAGGATTACGTGATGCTGCATTAATGAAGGACTGGACTTGATGATCTAGGGGTTTGTTACAGTCCCCTCCTCCATGTGCCTACAAGCTCTTACCACTAGAGCTAAAGGAACACCTCTGTCAGGCGTTACTTGTCAGCAAGGTTGTTCCTTGCTGGAAACAACCTTGAAAGGACAACATGAGCAGATGCACTAAGACAGTAGAATTGCATTCAACCTTGGTGTCTTAATGGACTTGATCATGCCATGCTTTTATCTCACAAGATTCATCCCATTTTCCCGTAAGCTGCACAGCTCCTTTGAGACACCAAGGTGCTATTACATGAGATGGAACAGACCCCGTCCCAAGAGCCCCACTCTTCCACCACTTCCTTCACCATCATGCAGCATGATCTGATAATTTCCTGAAGCTCCAGATGTCTCCTCCCAGGAGGAACCCCTGTTCTCAGAGCACTGCATAACCTCAGTGGGTGGCGTTTGCATCCGGGGACACCTGATCGTTGCTTCTACTGGACAAGCACATGGACAGTATCTTTTACCCATTCCATGTAATGCACATAGAAAAAAGAGAGAGAGACCCAACAGCTGTCCCAGTGGCTTTAAATATCTGTTTCTCTCAGCCCGCAGCAGTCCGTTAAGTCATACGTTTGATAGTCAATAGTTTCCGTGAAGTCATTAGGGATCGCTATAGAAATGGACTCAACCTCTGTCTTGTAAGCTGCGGTCACACTCCCTTTGCCTGAGCCACCCCTGATTTTGTGGGAGAGGCTGTTCATCTTCTCCTTCAGCTGGGTGGAGGATGGCTTCTGGAAATGCATTTTCCACCCTCTGAAGCTTAGCGTTCTCCTCTGACTGGTTCTTTCCTGGGGCGAGGAGTGAAATATGAAAGAGCTGTTCAGGGTGGCAATTCTGGGCTTCATGTCTGGGTCTGAATCCCGCCCAGAGCTGCTCATGGAGGCTCCCCGCCAGTGGTGGTCATACACCCTCCAAAGCGGTCGCCGCCTCCGGCGGCACTGGCACTTGAGCAGCCGGATGAAAGCTCTCTTGAACTCCTTGCTCGAGCAGGGGTAGATGAGAGGGTTCACACAGCTGTTGAAGTACCCCAGCCAGAAGATGACTTTGAAGACCATGTCTGACGGCTTCAGGGATGGAAAGAAGGAACCTGGGAGGAAATCAAAACAAATGAGGTTAGAGGAGGAAAATAGCTTGACAGCTCAGGAGAGAAAGATCTGCTGGGGAGGTGGAAGGGATCTTAACCCTGCCTACGGTAGGCATGCACCAGAGCTAAGCACTTGGTTGTGGTACTATGCCCCATGTGGAAGACCACCATTGCCATCACCATGAGCTTGTTTCAGTGCCTGGTTCCCTAGGGATCCATCTAGCCCCCTCTACTCGGGGTGCAGAGGCTCTCCCAGCACCAGAAAAGGTGAAGTCAGATTCTGCAATGGGAGTCAGATGCCTAGAGGCAACAGTAATGGTAGTGGTAATGGTAGTGATAGCGGTTGTGGTAGTCATGAGCTGCTTACAGGCCAACATAACTTCATGGGATTAGCTTTAAAAGAAGACCCTTGGATTGGGGGAATAAGTTC